ATACATGTATAATTATGCGAATACGGGACAATAACAACCCCCCCTAAAACACTGATACAGTGTAACGTGGAACTCGCGGCTCAACACGTAAACAAACAAAAATGTTCGCAGTGCGTATATGTAAAAGGGGCATACCTATCTTGTGGTCACTATCTTCCTCACCATTATACCTGACTTAAAGAGAGTAAAGTCTTATTCCACATATAGCATTTTTCTCCCGTGAATATGCTCATTGCTCCCATTACGGCGTTAAAACGGCGACATAGCGCTCATGAGCCCGTATGAGATTTGTGAAAAATATTTGACCCCTTTAGTCAACATTCATATCGTACAGTATGTATACAAAAATGGGTTCTTCCGTTTTGTTCCGTACTTCCTTCTTCTGTTATATTAGGGTGCACGTGAATTATTTATTCAAATCATATTTATATATTTAGGTAAGAATAGTAAAACATGTACCAAATTGATTCTATCTATATTTACTATTGGCCGATGAAGAAAAGCATTACACGCATAATTTATACCTCTACATGTGGAAGAAGGAGAAAACAATTCCAGAACACTTACATATATAGAGAACATATCGCCACTTCTACCATTTTCTACACAGCAGGAAAAAAAGGGAACAGAATGATGTTGCTTGTGAAGCTTTCTATATGTATTCTAGTCCTGTGTTTTGGGCAAATCGCTGACGGTGTATGGCACAAACAATTGTTTTTTGGGGAGTTACCACACATTTGTTGTGATAAGCTGCTAATTCGCCCATAACAACTATAAACCTGCCTGTAATTCTTTTCCACATTCTACATCATTCTATATACACCATAACAAACCCATGTATCCCCCCTTTCTTGTTACATTATAGGCGAGTACGATGGACTCATCATGGGGTAATTTAACAAGCCATTATGACACCACGGATGTAATTTCAACCCTATCTTTGAGTGATCGATCGGACTCAGCTAAACTGGATCCACTCAATTTTTACGACTGTCATTTTACGGGTAGTCCGGTGAAGAACACTTTGTTCGACGACATGCACAGAAATTTAAAATCCAATGTCAAAGTAAAGAAGCCGCAGCACAAAAAGAAGACAATTCAGGATATAACTGCACGTATCATTTGTAGAAGAAGTTCTAATAAATGGACACGTTTCAAAATGGGGAGAATCGCATGGATAAATCGTATAGTAGTGGCCACATTTCTTTATACATTCCTTATATCCCCCGCAGCACAAGCCATCTTGACTTCGCTCTGTTTACCAACCCCATTCATCTCTGCGGCGTTCATGGGCTCGTTTGGACCTTTCATACTGTTTACTATTATATATTTGTGCGTGCTACTGAGATTCTGCCGCTCCAAGACAGGGAAATGTGTACTGGATAAAATTTGGAAGAAGAAGGAGAAGGAGGAAGCTCCCACAGAAACGCAAAAAAACGAAGGAAAAGTAAATAAGGAATCGAAGAAGACGTAATTGTTCCGTGTTTTACTGCATAGTGAACAATAATATATTTGTTGCATACCTATTAGATTGACCTTTGTCATTCTGTTGTATGTTCGTCGCTATGATTTGTCCTACTGTTCCTTTATAGCATGTATCCAATAGTCCTGTTTTGTACACTATAATTGTTGTGTGTACATTTATCCGAATATATATGTATGGTTGCTTCAATATGTTGTACTGTTTATGCATATTATCAGATGTTTTTTGCATATTATGAAAAGAGGGAACGTAGTTGCAAGGGCAATACACTCCACTACATTTTATCTGTTTATATATACCCTATGTCGTATATATAACAAACATTATATTATGATTACTCTGGATGCAACATATGGCAAGTATTTTTATAAAATGTAACTTGGTCCTTGTTTTTTGTCTGAACACTCCCACAGTTCTGGCACCGAATTAATATGCCCCCCTGCTTGGCACAATATAATATTGTACACGAGAATAACAACATACGTTATGTAGAATATAGCGTAAACAGATATAGGTATGCAGGGTCCCCTACAACATCATGTACATGGACAGGCGCCGTGAAGGGGGACAGGGCACACGCGTGCTGCCAGGTCGGAAATATTTTGGAGCAATGGTGCACATAGGGGTCCTGGTGCATAAGTTCGTAAACTCGTCGCGCGTACTCATGCCCGCTGTATTGCACAGTCATGGTCGTCACCGAGCCGGTCCCGTGCTCTGGGCAATTGTGCATTGCGCTTAGCGAAGATGTGCTATGTGGTTGTTCGCTGTGGTGCCCCCGCGGGATGTGCATGGGGCGCGGTAGTGTGCATGAATGCGTCGTACGCCCTGGCAACACGAGGCGTGCATGCGCAGCGTCTACCACCGTCGCACCATGTGCTCCTGCACTGTCCTGCCGGCTGCACATTGTACCTTACGCTTTTGGTGATCCCACGTATGTTGCGGCACTGGTTGCTGTGCTCGTGCCGCCTGTGATTCGGTTACTCCTGCGTCCACTACACGTGCGGCGTGTATGCAGCATTCTTCTATTGCTGTTCTCCTGCGCTTGTTGCGCATAGCGTTTCATGTCCCCCTGTTGCCTTCGTGCCTGCGCGTGTGCTGTGCACGCCCGGTTGTGTCCAGCTGGTCGTGCTTCACGCATCTTGCACTGCAGTGCCCTCGCGTGGCGCACTTTGTCCAGCACCGTGCGTCATGCCGCCTCGTTTTTTCCCCTTTGTCGCTTGCTCCTGCGCGCTCCACGTGCTTGCGGTTTTTGGTCCTCTACATGCCGTCGTTTGCACTTGTGTATGTTGGCCTGCAACCCTCTTCACGCAGTCCCCCGTGCGTTCTGCTGCTGCTTCGTTTGCTCTTTTTCACCAGCGCGCCGTGCTCTGGCATGCGCTTTTCCATGGCCCTTTGTCCATTGCATCGCGCACTCGCGCGTACCCTTCACGCTTTTTCCACATGCCACTGCATCCACTTGCGCAATTATGTGCCATCTACCTTCGGCTTCTATGCCTGTCACGCTACTGCACTTTTTGGGTTTTTTTTTTTTTTTTTTTTTTTTTCCCCTCTGATCACCCTCGTGCTCACGCTGTTCCCTTTTTGGGGTCCTTTTGTTGTTTTCTTGGTTCTATACCTGCGTTGGTGCCTTTTACTTTTTTACTTCCGTTTTCCATTTGCGCTTATGTTTTTCCCAAGTTTCTCTTCTGCCGCGCATGTTCATATTTCCTGTTTTTCCCCGTTCTTTTATTTTATTTTATTTTTTGGTTTTTTTTTCCTCCTTTTTTCATTTTATTTTATTTTTTTTTTCTCCTTTTTTCTCTTTTTTTCCTTTTTTCCCCCCCCCTTTTCCTCCTTTCTTTGCTATCCTTCTACTGCATCCCTTTTTCATTCCCTTTTCCTGCATGCTTCATTTGCGCATTGCTCTTGTGCCGCTTTCGCCTTTTTCACATGCATTCCTGCATGCTGCTCCTCCGCAGGAGCTTTTTTCACTTTTTTCAAGTATCCTTACCCTTGCTTGGCCTTCCTATGCTTTTTTCGCGATTTCTCTTCGTGCATCGCACGCCTCTTTGGGTTTGTTGTTTTTTGGTTTTTTTGGCATTCTACGCCTAATCTCCGCGCTCTTCGCATTTTTTATGCTTCTGTTCTTTCTGCTTTTGCATTCGCATCCAGGCTGTTGTTCGTTCCACGCGCTTATTCTATTGACTGCATCTTGCACATGCGCGGGCATCAATCTTTCATTTTCCACTACCTCTGCTACTATTGGTCATCTTTGGCGTCCACGCCATTGCATCCGTTCATGCTTTTTGATTTGAATGCTTGCTGCATATGGCCTCACCGCGCACACCATCGGTCTCCGTGCACCGCGTATTCGACGTCGCAGCCCCTCACACGCGTCGACGCACGCGACCCACTAACCACGGCTCTTGCGAGCAAACGCGTCGAGCAACGCGGCGGCGTGCACAACGCAAGACCATTGTCTCCGAGCAAACGAGGCCGAGTAAGGGGTATTCGAGCAAGCGGCCGAGTGCAAGACCGATTCGACGAAGTGGCCGATTGTAAGAAAAACGAGATTGTCTCTCCGAGCAAACGCGGCAACGTGGAAGACGAATTCGACGCAGGATTGTCCGAGTGTAAGAACGGAGGGAGACATTGTCTCTCCGAGCAAACGCGTCGACCACAGCGGCCGCATAAACACGAGTGTCCGAGTGACGCAGTTCGACGACGTAGCCGCGTGTAAGAAGGAGCAAAGATTGTCTCTCCGAGCAAACGCGGCCGAGTATAACACGCATTCGACGAAGTGGCCGAGTGTAAGAAGGTACACATTGTCTCTCCGAGCAAACGCCGCCGGGTAAACCCATTGTCCGAGGACGCAGCCGCGTGTAAGAAGGAGCAGGATTGTCTCTCCGAGCAAACACGGTCGGGTAACGGATTCGACGACGTATCCGAGTGACGGAGAGGCGTTGACGAAGAGGCATTGACGGGGAGAAGCGTTGACGGAGACAGCGTGACCCGGAGACGCGTTCACGGACACGGCGTTGACGGAGGAGGCGTTGACGGAGAATCGTTGACGGGAGAGGCCTTGAGGGCACGCACGGCCACGAAGGCGCCAACGTCAACAACGGCGGCAGAAGCATTTGATGTTGTTGTTATATTGCGGTTTTGTTGTGTACGCACACAGAGACAGTGTGTGTGACGGCGTTTAGTGGACACCGGTGTAGATAGGGGGCAGGCGGGTGTATTCATGAATCGTTGTGTGTGTACGGTAGTGTAGTGTACTTGTTCCTATTTTTTCCTTTCTTTCTGTTGTTTTTTTCTTTTGTTTTCCTTTCTTGTTACTCTATTTTTTGTTGTTTTGCTCCTTTTTTTTCTTTTCTTCTTTACGCAGGAGCCAGTTCATATGTGGTAGAGCGCAGGTCTTCTCTCTATTGTGTACACGACGTGGTTGTTATGAATTTATAGCGTATGTTGTTTTTAGCTCAATTTTTTTGTTCTTGTTTCCCTTATTTCATTTCATTTTGTTGCTTCTGCCCATCCCACTATTTATGGGATGTGTGATTACATTCAGGTAGGGGTATTTTGTTCATGGGACATGTTGCCGAAGGCACCCTATAATGCAAGACATGTTCCATGCTCTATGTATCTGAGTAACACACAAGAGAATATTGTGTACATATTATACTCACGCCGTTATTTGACAGCTAATGGTTTCATCCGTTGCATCCTATTAATTCATAATAAGGACAATATGTCGTATGGGAGGTTGGGAGCTTTATTAGCAGAATACGTTCTAAAAAGGGGACTAGCGACGGATGTACCAGCATATAAGGTAATTCATTGTAAGGGAGAAATGGAGTGAGCAGGCGCCTACACATATACATGTGTATACGTGCACGATAGGTAGGGTATTCAGTTTGCAGCATACATATGTTCACGTTACTTGAACGGGAAAGCATATGCCCCATGTGAACATACCATCCGTGGTCCACCATGTAGCATAGGGCCGACTGGCTGGAGTATCTTCCGTGAAGAAACGAAACTGAAATATATGTACATGCCCCCGCATTACTATAATTGTAGACAAGTTTATGGCAGGATATAGAGGCACAACTGGACCAATTTATAAAACATTTGAATGAGGATGGCATGGAAGAAGTATATTCTGCGAATTGCAACAACACGCCATGGGAGCACCCGAACCACCCGCAGGGGTCATCCGTCGAAGTTCCAAGCCAGGGTGATATAATTATATGCACACTTATGACCAAAGCATTGTGGTTTGCAAATGGTTGGAGCAAAGCACCAGAGATGCATACGGAAGATCATAGTGGCGGGAGGACAGAATTGAAGGATTTTATCAGATGCGGAATTGTAAATATGTTTATGCACCTATTGGAGGAATCCGCATGTGAGAGTACGTCGGGTTTATGGTATGCATGGTACACTATGAAGCACATGAAGAGTGTAGAAATGTTAGGACGGAACTTAATACATGACTCAACATGTAACAACGGAATGGAAGAGGATATTAAGGTAAAAGGATGGTCTATGAAAGAAAGTATTACAAAATGGTTACGTAGAAATGAAAACATAAGGAACAGCATACACAAAGCAAGTGTAAGTACGAACTGTAGCCGCAAAATAGGAGAACTCCCGACACAGGGGCAAGGTGCGAAAAAGACGGAGGACGCGGATAAAGTAAAAGAGGAAGTAGCACGAATAGCGCAGAATGTGAGCAAAGGGATGAGTACAATATTCAGAGAAATTAAGAAGGAAGTGAAGGAAAGTGGTAGAAAGGGGGAACAAGCTACATCCACAAATCCTGACTCTCCCGCCGCAGCATCGGACGTACCTGCAACAAAAGAGGCTGCAGCATCACCGGCACCGACAGGTAAGGACCGATGGGAGAAAGCACTAATACGACCCGCTACGTACCGTATTGCTCAATATGGATGCCGCCACCACAACGCAACACGCACACGGCAGCCACAACAGCACAGCAAAAGACTTCGTTGACGTTGATCGGCCACGACCGGCGCGACGAGCGCACCGTTGGCAGCGTTGGCCACTGTGTCGCAGCGTCACACTGGTGCGTGCGGCCGCGATGACTGTGTAGCGACGGCAGTGGTAGCGGTGGCGAGGGACGCAGACGGACGGAACGGGACGTCGACAAATAAAAGTTGTACTGCTAGTATCCACCTCACCGTACGCTTGCTGTCGCCTGACCCAGTTCACCGCGTTCACCTCACCGTACGCTTGCTGCAGACGCATGCATCGATCCATGCAGCCGGAACCCCACCCTGCTGTTACCTGATCGAACCGTCCCGGCCCCTTCTTTCTGTACCACTTGTGTCCCTTTTTTTTTTTATCATCTTCCTCATTCTTTTTCCATTTTTGTTGTTTCTCCTTCATTTTAGACACAAGCAAGGATAAGAACACGCATGCAGACACATCACATACTGGAGCAGCGCGGTCACCAGCACCGGCGAACACGGAAGAGACCCCATCGGCACCGGCAGCACCGGCAGGAGAAGACGGGAAAAAAGGAGCAAAGGGTGATGCCGGACCAGCTGGTCCACACGCAGACACTGGAGCACCCGGCGTAGGAAAGCCATCAGCGACCGAATCAACTAATGCAGGTAAGTCCCCAGCGAAGAGATGTGATAAAGTCGTGCAGACTATGGTAGGCGAGAGGACCGATGAACAGGGTAATAAAGGCAGTGTGAAAATCTCTTTCGAAGCCGAACCCTCTACGCCTGCGTGCCTAAACCCGCACACGGACGTGCATGTCACAGGTAATGTGCACCACGGGGTCCACATCCCATTGTCGATACCCTAAGTAGACTATTGGGCAAGAAAGAAAAACACAAAACAGACAACACACGATTTTCGCAGAAAGCGGGAGCGCGGGAGAGACAACACGGAGAGCGCGAAACCAAACGTCGAATGAGACTGACCGGCACCGCGACGGGTCGGACGTGAGTTGTAGACGTCGAAAGATGTCGACAGACAGACAGACACACACTGTGTGTGAGTGTTGTGTGTGTTGTGTAGTTGGAGAGAGAGAGTCTTTTCCCCGGGTGGCACCGTAACCACCCTTCGCACCGTGGCCACCCATCCAGGGACGGCCGGTGGTCATAACCGTGTGGTCCATCATGAGCAACCATGCAACCGAGCATGGCCAAGCACCCGTTGCACCATCGCACAAGGTTCACTTTCGACACTTATTCTCCTTCTCATATTTACATACAGGACCTGATAGTCCCCCCGGTTCCTCGGTGAAAACCAGTACGGATGACCCACCTCCTCTCAATCCACCCAAACCAAAACCACCAACCACGAGCCCGAATCCACATGCAGATGAGGACAATCCCTGGGGTATTCCTTGCAAAGTGCGTGACGCAAACTGTGATATTCTCGGTGGTATACAACAGGTAGACAATAATATTGGATTAGCATCAGATTTTAAATTCGACAGAAATAAGCTCGCGGGAGGATTTATACCCCCGGCCCCAGAATATAAATCCGATTCCACGAGTCTAAATGAAGGCGGCGGCCCCTACCCACCTGACCTAACCGGCACGGTCCTCACCGCCACTACTCCCGTACTCTTCTTCCTGTCCGCCGTCACCGTCGCCCTTCTTGGTTATTCCCTCTGGAAGGTAAGTATATACGACAATGATGGCATGCCGCATTTGCATCCGTAATATGTACCATTAGCAAAGTGTTCCTAAGCGGGCTTTTTTACGATCATTCTAACACAAATCCACTCCTACATCGTCCTCGTTCTTTTTCTTTTTGTAGTACTTTGCGTACCTCGGAAAAAAACGACGACGAACATATCGAACTATACGTGACGTGCCGTCACCGCCACTCGACGAAGAAATATTGGACCATTTACAACGCGGCGACCTGCCGCCACCCGATTACGGGTACACGCTGGTTAGGGATAGGCACCCTGCGTCAACATCCGGTAGAGGACGCTCCCCGCGCGTGCATAAGCGCACGATCATCGAGCTACATCTAGAAGTGCTCAACGAATGTGAAGTGGCCGACTGGGAAAGCGTCAAAGACGACTATTTGCAGATTGTCGTGGAGGAGTTTGCACAGCAGTTTGCGCGTGACTTGCACCAGGACACGGACACGAATAACAATATCTTGGGTGTTTCTACCTCGCACGCCGCTTTAGCAACCCACGATTCGACAACTGACCATTCGACAACCCTGGATTCATGTCCACCTAACGAAGATAACCCCGATGCATGGAGTTGTATGAAACACATACAGTTAGCAACGGACCCTTCTGCTTCTAACGAAGATGATCCATGGAGTTGTATGGAAACTATACAGTTCGCAACGGACCATTGTCGACCGAAGGACGAGGACCCACATCCATGGAGTTGTATGGAAACCATACAGTTAGAAACGGACCGGTCTCCACGTAATGACTGGGATTCATGCAGTTGTATGGAAAACATACAGTTAGCAACGGACCCTTCCCCACCTAATGAACACGACCCCAATCCATGGAAGTGTATGGAAACCATACAGTTAGATACAGAACCCGACGCGCACTCCTCCCCGGGGAATGAAATCCGGGCCCCCGACTACATCCATTGGATTAACTGGATTGACCGCAACAAGCACCTATTGCAGGAGTGCACGACGCAGCAGTGGTTTAGTGCTCTCAAATCGGAATGGAAACAATACCTGCTTGCACACATGGTGGCACAGGAGGACAACGGAGTATCCGGGCAGCGTGAACTCGGTGAAGCGGCAACCCTGCCGATGAAGAACCTGGATGCATGGAAACAATGGGTTGCGCAACAACATCGGCAAATGAGTACATACAAGGAAGAGGCGTGGTTTCAACATTTGTTGCATAATGTAGAGGAGGAGACAGTACCGGAAAAAGGCGAAGTACCTGGAGTGGAACAAGACTTACAAGTGGAAAATGCAATGGGAACAGAACATATGCTAAGAGTGAGAGCTTTACCATGCACGCAACTGCATCAGCCCCCTCATATGAAACAACCGTTAACCGCTAAAATATGGATACTGATCCTGGCATTAGTCATAGAACAGTGCGAGGTCGAACGCAGTTTGCAGGATAGGGAGTTATATGTGGATGCTTTATTACAGAATATGTGACATTCGCATGACGGCGCATATGCATGCAACATAACGCATGCTAACCGAACACGACTTTTACTTCATTATGTGATATACATAATATACTTCTACTTTACATTATTCCATACCTTCTTTTTTTTTTTTCTGCTCTGTTCTGCTTACTTCTGTTTCTTTGTGCTTACTTTTGCCTTGTTTTGTTCTTTTTCTGTGTAGTCCACTTCTTTTAACATGACCATAGGAACCGGTGCGTACCGCTCACATGCATATACAATGTACATTTACATGAATAATATGAAGCGGTAGAATTCTCCTTTATGTGAAGTTAATTATTCAAAGATGAGCAAGTGCATTCTCAGGGCATCGTGTACAACTCATATAGAATGCGCATAAGCATTCGAGTATAAGGAGAGCTTGTCTCTCCGCGCAAACGTGGCCGCATAAAGGCGCTTGTCCGAGTGTAAGAAGGTACACATTGTCTCTCCCAGCACACGCGGCTGAGTATAAGACGCATTCGACGCAGGATTGTCCGAGTGTAAGAAAGGAGGGGGAGATTGTCTCTCCGAGCAAACGCGGCCCGGGTAAACGGGATTGTCCGAGTGAAGCGGTTCGACGAAGTAGCCGCGTGTAAGAAGCAGCAGATTGTCTCTGCGAGCAAACGCGTCGCCCAACGCGGCCGCGTGCACCACGCAGCACCATTGTAGCCGAGCAAACGCGGCCAAGTGCAACACCCATTGGACGAAGTGGCCGCGTGTAAGAAGGACGAGATTGTCTCAGAGTACGGGAGTTCGAGGGAAGGATCCAGAGAGGGGGAGCAGAGAGAGGCGGGGGCGGAGCACGCTCACACATATTAAGTGGGGGAGCACACAAGGGCGGCAAAGAAGGCGGCAACGACGGAACAAGAAATTGATGCTGTTGTTATTACTGCGGTTTTAGTGTACAAGGGGTTTAGTGTACGCACACAGAGACAGTGTGTGTGACAGGCGTTTAGTGGAGACCGGTGTAGACAGGGGCGAGGCGGGCTATTCATGACACGTTGTGCGTGTAAGGTCGTGTAGTAGTACTTTTTTTCCTGTCCTTTTTTTTTGGTTCTTTTTTTTTTTTTCTTGTTTCCCTTGTTTGATTTCTTTTTTTCCTTCTTCCAAATCCCACGCGTTATGGGATGTGTGCTTAAATTCAGATAGGGGATAGTTCGGCCATGTGAGATGTTTCCGCAAGGACCTTACAAGGAAGACACGTTCCATTCCATATGAAATTCAATAATACATAACAGCATATTGTGCGCATATTATACTCAAGCCGTTATCTGAGCGCTAATGCTTTCATCCGTCGCACTCTATTAATTCATGATAATGACAATATGAACTATAAGAGGTTAGGGGCTTTATTAGTACATTATGTGAGCACACGGGGTCTAGTGGATCAACATGAGCACTATAAGGTAATGTATTATGCGCGCTTGATGCAGTCACAATGCGCATATACATATATATATGTGTATACGTGCACGACAGGCAGGGTACTCAGGTTGCAGCAACCATATGTTCACATTTCTTGAACGGGAAGGCATATGTCCCATGTGAGCATCGCATCCGTGGTCCACAATGTAGCATAGCGGCGACTGGCGCGAGTATCTTCCGTGAAGACACGAAACTGACATATATGTACATGCCCCCGCATTACTCCAATTGCAGAAAAGTTTATGGCAGGATATAGAGGCACAACTGAAGAAGTTTATACAACATTTGAAAGAGGATGGCATGGACGATACGTATTCTGTGAATTGCACGAACTCTGGCTGGCAGCGCCCGGGCCACCGGACTGACATAACCTTCGTAGTTACAAACATGGGTGACAGAATTATATGCACACTTATGACTAAAGCATTGTATTTCCTGAATGGGTGGAGCACAGGCGCAGGGATGGCTATGGACGATGATAGTGGCGTAAACAAAGATTTCAGGACTTTTATACGATGCACAATCGTGCACATGTTCATGCACTTGTTGAACGAGTCCGCATGTGCGAGTACATGGGGCACATTCTACGCATGGTATTCAATGGACAAAATGGGGCAGCTATCAGGGTGGAGCACGAATTTAATATCTACGAAGGCGTGCACGCAACATTTCGACGTACAGCTACAAGTGGCTGGGTGGAGTATGAAGACCGCAGTGAAGGAGTGGTTGCAAAGCCACGTAAACATACAGAGAACACTGAAAACAGACAGCTTCGTGCAGAATTGTCGTATTGAAGTGCCAACAATTAAAGGAAGCCAGCATTCTGCAACAGAACAAGACGATGCGCAACGTGTGCAGAACATAATAAAGGGCGTTGGGGGGCATTTACGGAAAGAAATGAGCCAGGTATTCAGGAAAATTAAAAAAGAAGTGAAGAAAGGAGCGATAGCAGCAGGAGCTACCAGTGCAGAGAGGTCCGCTGAGCCAGAGTCGGACGATGAGGACGATGAAGAGGTGGACATTAATGGTACGAACAATAAAGGAGCAGAGTTCTACTAATACGGGCAATAAGAACACGCATAGTACGCATGCGTCTGAATACGCATACGGCGCATACTACCACGGCCGGCACGGACACCACCGCCACCGATAGTGCGCATGCCGCCATCACCACAACACGCACGCGGCGGCCACGACGGCAGCGGCAGCGGCTGCCACTGTGTAGACGACTGTAGACGAGGTGTGTGTGTGCTGCGATGACCAGTGTAGCGGCCGCACAGTGGTGTGACAATGGTGCGTGGGATGGACGGGCGGTCACGATGCTAGTGGTAGCGGTGGCGACGACGGATGCAGCGGGACGGCGGAAGATGGAGGAGCGTAACGGCAAAAACAAATAAAATTGTACTGCTACCATCCAGCACGACCCAGTCAACCGAGTTCACCTCACCGTACGCTTGCTACCGCCTGACCCAGTCCACCGAGTACGCAGTTCACCGTACGCGTGCTGCCACTACCTGATCGAACCGTCCCGGCCCCTTCTTTCTGTACCACTTGTGTCCTGTTTTGTATCATCTTTTCATCCATCTGTCTTCCATCCCTCATTGCAGGAACGACACCGGCAGATGGAGGAGGAGCAGACCAGAAACGGGCGCAGCCCTCGGCACCATCCTCAGCCGGAGACTCAGTGTCCAGGACGGATCCCACACCTGGAGCACAGGACGCGCGAGGAGCAGCATCAGGATCGGGGCAGCAACCACAAGCACCGGCATCTCCAGTATTACCAGCCAGACCACCACCACCAGCGGAAACACCAACGGAACTGGCTACCGCAGCAGGATCCACGACATCTACAGGAACGGGACCTGGACCTGGACAACAACCCCCACCTCCACCACCTCCACCACCCCCACCACCTGCACCACCTCCTCCACCAGAACCCGCACGTCCAGCAGCACCATCAGAACCAAAAGGAGCCACACGTCCTGCAGCACCAAATGGAGCCGGGCAACAGACTACGCCGGTACCCACAGAGAGTAACGGTAAGGACACGGCGTGCCCCAAAGACGTTCAGGAAGAAAGCTTGGGGGCTGGAACAGTTAGTATTACCTTTGAGTCGCCGTCTGAATGTACAGGTACCGGCAATACTGCTTCTGAGGAGTGAACTTTATAGAGCGGTGCGCACAGTGCCCGCAGATGACAATGTGCATCCGAGCATGCGGATCCATGCCCCAACGCAGAGCACAGGAGTGAACAACAAAAACAAACACACAAGCAACCACTTCCGGAGCGAGAGGGCGAGACCACACGGAGAGAGAGAAACCAAACGTCGAATGAGAATGACAGCGGAAGAGCGACAGACCGACCGGTCGGCCGAGCTTTGTAGACGTCGACAGGTAGACGTCGACAGACGTAGAAGCAGCCAGACCGACACACACACTGTCTGTGTGTGTTGTGTGTTGTGTGTTGTGTGTTGTGTGTGGGAGACAGAGAGAGTCTTTTCCCCGGGGTGGCACCTGCCAACCACCGTTCGCACCGTGTCCTACCCCCGTTGCTCGTCCCCGTCTCCTGCCTCCCGGTCTCCCTGACGCCTGCCGCCGTCCCCCGTGGTACCATGTGGTCAACCATCACCGTCAGCGACTGACCACGTAGTCAACCTGACAAACTTTAGATTCATCATCTTCCTTCTTCCCTTACACTTCCCCTCAGGACCTGCAGGCGTAGACACCACACCTACAACGGATTCACACAAACCAGCAGCAGCACCGAAGGCAGCAGCACCAGTAGAACCAGCAGCGGCAGCAGGAGAAGCAGCACTAACAACCACAACCACAACAACATCCTCCAGTGGAGAAGCCGCGGCATCCCCTGGTCCAGTTGGTCCACCAGGTGAAAACGGTGCTCGTAGCGACGCAGGAAACGATAACCCCCCTCCTCTCAATCCACCCAAACCAAAACCGAACCCGAACCCAAATCAGGCGGGGTCCAGCGGTAGCGGCGGAGGCGGCGAACAGTCCACAGGAGGTACTGGAAGTGGTGCTTCTGGTGGGGAGGCAAAGGGAGGTGCTGATGGAGCACATCAACCGGGTTCCTCTGGACCCGGTTCCACTGGTCCCCAAAACCCCGGTTCATCTGGTCCAGGTTCTGCGGGGACAGGATCAACTGGGACTAAGGGCACCGGTTCTTCTCCTTCCGGTGGTCCAAGTCAAGGAGTTCATGACCCACCTCAACCTCCCCTTCCTTCCCCGAAACCCTTCGACCCTCGCGATCTCATCCCGCACACCCCTGCGATCATTCCCGCGGTTGTTGGTATTGCGGTTATTGCCTTTTTCCTCTGGAAGGTAAGTATATACGACAATGCGGGCATGCCGCATGTGCCGGATGTTTATACCTCAGAACATCCCTACGGGCTCCAATACATAATCGTTGTAACCAATACACTCCTACACCCGCGTTCATTCCTGTTATCCTACCGTCTTCACCCTCCTCTTTACCCCCCTTTTTCTGCTTAGTACTTTGCGCACCTCGCCAAGCGACGACGAATATATCGAACAGTGCGTGACGTGCCGTCACCGCCACTCGACGAAGAAATATTGCAACATCTACAACGCGGCGCACCACCACCCGATTACGGGTACACAATAATTAGGGATAGGCAGCGCGGCAGATTGCCCGCCGCACGCCGCGGACCACGCCCACCACGCGTGCATAAGCGCACCATCATTGAGCTACATCTAGAAGTGCTCCACGAATGTGAAGCAACCGAGTGGGATACGGTGAAAGAGGACTATTGGAAGATTGTCGTGGAGGAGTTTGCACAGGATTTGATGCCGCACGATGACAGGCATAACAACATCTTGGGTGTTTCGACCACAAAGCAGGGTTTATCAGGGACCCATGTGTCCTCCATGCTCGATCCATCCACTGACATCGAACGAACGGACGCATCTCCACGTAACGCAGAGCACCCCGATCCATGGCGTTGTATGGACACCATACAGTTAGAAACGGACCGTGCTGCGCCTAACGAACAGGACCGATGGAATTGTATGGAAACCATACAGTTCGCAACGGACCCATTTCCACCGAATGCAGACGACCCCGATCCATGGAGTTGTATGGAAACCATACAGTTAGAACAAGAAGACACTCCTTCGGCCCCTCCCTCCTCTTCCGACCCCGGGAATGCAAACCTGACCCCCGACCACACTAATTGGATTAACTGGATTGACCGCAACAAGTACTTTTTGCGGGCGTGCACGACGCAGCCGTGGTTTAATGCCCTCAAATCCAACTGGACACAATACCTGCGTGAGCACATGGCGGCAAACCAGGACACCGGGCAGCGTGAACTCGGTGAAGCGGCCACCTCGCCGATGAAGAAACTGCGGTTGTGGAAAGAATGGGTAGCGCGACAACATCGGCAAATGAGTACATACAAGCAAGAGCAGTGGTTTCAACATTTGTTGAACAATGTAGAGGACCAGACAGAATCGCAAAAAGGCGAAATACCACGAGTAGCAACACACTTAGAAGTGGAAAAAGTAACGGCAGCAGAAGATATACTAAGCGTGAGAGATATACCATGCACGCAACTGCATCAGCAACCTTACATGAAAAAACCGTTAACCGCTAAAATATGCATGCTCATCCTCGCGTCCGTAATCGAAGAATGCGAAGTCGAATGTCGTTTGCAGGAGACGGAGTCATATGTGGATGATGTATTGCACAAGCTCTGCAACTAGCATGAAGTCAGGGGTATGCAGGATACGGAGTTATATGTAGATGACCTATTGGCGCAACTGTGACATTCGCATGACGGGGCATATGCATGCGACACAACGCATGCTAATCGTACACCACTTTTACTGCATTATGTGATATACATAATATATTTCTGGTTTACATTATTCCATGCCTACCATTTTTTACTTCTCTGTTCTGCTTACTTGTGCTTTTGCCTTGTTTTGTTCTTTTTCTGTGTAGTCAACTTCTTTTAACATGACCATAGGAACAGGTGGGCACCGGTTACATGCATATATAATGTAGCTTTACATGAATAATATGAACGGGTAATATTCTCCTTTATGTGAAGTTAATTATTAACAGATGCGCACGTGCATTCTACGCGCATAGTGCAGAACAAATATAGAACGCGCATGCGCATTCGAGTATAAGGCGAGATTGTCTCTGCGCGCGCCTGCGGTCGCGTAAACGCGATTGTCCGCGCACGTAGCCCAGTGTAAGCAGGAGGCGCGATTGTCTCTCCGAGCACAACGCGTCGACCAAAGCGGCCCGGTAAACACGATTCGACGACGCACCCGAGTGTAACCACGATTCGACGCAGTAGCTGAGTGTAAGAAAGGAGGGAGAGATTGTCTCTCCGAGCGACGTGGCTTGGTAAGCAGCATTCGCCGCAGTAGCCGAGTGTAAGAACGGAGGGCGACATTGTCTCGCCGAGCAAACGCGGTTCGACCAACGCGGCCGGGTAAACGGGATTGGCCGAGTGTAAGAAGGAGGAGGATTGTCTCTCCGAGCAAACGCGTCGACCAAAGCGGCCGCGTAAAGGCCATTGTGCGCGTAATGCGACCGACTGTACGACGGATTCGACGACGGCTTGTCCGAATGTAAGAAGGAGGAGAGGTTGTCTCTCCGAGCAAACGCGGCCGGGAACAGCAGATTGCCTCCGAGTACACGCATTGGACGAAGTAGCCGAGTGTAACAACGATTCGACGAAGTACCCGAGTAAGCATTGTGCCCACGGTAAGAACGGAGGGAGAGATTGTCTCTCCGAGCAAACGTGGCCGCGTAAAGACGATTGTCGCCGAGTGAAAGTATCCAGAGAGGGAGCAGAGAGCGGGAAGAGCGCGGGAAGAGAGCGGAAGGCGCAGGAAGGAACACACATATTGTGTGGGCACGCGACCAACGAGGCAAGGAGGGCGGCAACGACGGAAGAAGAAATTGATGTTGTTACTGCGGTTTGTAGTGTACAAGGGGTTTAAGTGTACGCACACAGAGACAACGTGTGCGACGGCGTTTAGTGGAGACCGCTATAGAAAGGGGGCAGGCGGGCTATTCATGACGGTGTACTGTTGTCCTATTTTTTTCTTTTTTTCTTTTTTGTTTTTTGTTGTTTTCTTTTTTTCCTTCCTTTCATCCCACGATTTATGGCATGTGTCATTAAATTCAGATAGGGCATAGTTTGTTCATGGGACATGTTTCCGCAGGCACCCTATACTGCAAGACATATTCCATGCGCTAAAAATCTGCATACTAAGTAAGAGAACATTGTGCCCATATTATACTCAAGGCGTTATCTGAGAGATAATGATATCATTCGTTTCATTATATTGGTTTATGGTTGTGACAAGATGTCGTATGCGGCGTTGGGAGTTTTATTAGCACATTATGTGCTGACACGGGGTCTAGTGGATAGACCGGAGCAGTATAAGGTAATTTATTAAGTATAACATCGGGGGGCGTTGTGTAATTATAACCGCCTCTATATATGATAGTATGTATACATGCCTGTATATATAATTGTACGCATGCGGCGCTGCACTCATTACGTATTAATACCACAATGCGCACATACCGCACGCGCAGTACGCACCAAGCCATGGGCACATATGAATATGGACGAGAGAGGTGCAGTGGCCAATTCTGCACACACATATATGTTCCTTATGCATAATACAGGAATTCCTACGGACAGATGTAACAGAGCTACTCGAAGAATTTGTGGAATATATGGAAAATGAGGACCTAGACGACCTTGCAGCTAATTGTTTGAACGTGGGTTACAGGAGTCTGAGCAGAAATGACATACTTGTGGCACAGAAAGTCGCGGATAGACTAATGTGCACACTCATGTCACGAGCCTTATTTTTCATGAACAGGTGGAGCCCCGGGTCCGCTAGCGCGGACGATACAGACCCTAAGAATGAACCGTTGAAGGAACATATAAGGTGCGCCATAGTAAATGTATTTATGTACATATTGCTGGAATCTCCATGCAAAAGTCAAATGGGAATAGATAATGCATGGTACACCATGGATCAGCTGGAGACAGGTTCGCCTGGATTACTTACACAGGGCAAGTGCCACCAGGGCGTGTTTGCAAATATACAAATCCAGGACTTCAACATGCAGCAAATGATTAAGAACTGGTTAAAGAGCAACGGAAGAGTAAAAGGCAAAATTGAAGGGCCACGCATACAAAGAATATGTACGAAAAGCTTAGCAGAACTTGGTGTGGCCAGGAAGGACGCAAATGACATGGATGACAAAATAGAACTGCAGGAAGAGGAGAAAGATGCTATACGTGAGTTAGGCCAACAACTGAAGGCCATAGTTCACGAGGTAAAGAAAGAGGTACAGCAATGCGAGCAGGCAAATGGCGCATGCATGAAGTCTATCCACAACGTCTCCAGAAGCAATCCTGATGATGACGTAAATGAGGACCAAGAACGGAACCCGGACGCAGGTGGTACACCAGCACCAAACGGAGCGGAAGGTAAGGACCGATGGGGACAAAGCACCAACACGGCCCACTACGGCCCAATACGGCCAAATACGGATCATGCGACCCGTGTCGATACGCATATGGATGCCGCCACCACAACAACAACGCACACGCGGCGTGCAACAGCACAGCCGCCATGAGGCAGCCGCCCCACTTTGGTTGAGCGATGAGCGGCCACGACGGCAACTGTAGCGGTGACGAGGACAGGACGAGGGATGGAGCGGGGGTGAGAGAGAGTGCATGTTAACATTAAGCAAGCAGGAAACGAGGAAGGATGAGAACGAAGTGTGCGCACATGGGAAGTCTGTGTGGGTTGCATGCACGTATACCTGACCTCTGCTGTCTTCCTATTCTTATCTTACGTTAGTGGGCAACACATGTAATCCTAATCATTATTATCCTTTTATAGAGAAAACCGTTCCTGTGGCCCCACCCACGAAACCAGAGGCTCCACGAGCTAAAGTACCAGAAGTAACAAAGGACGTTATTCCGGAGAAGCACGGACCGACAAAAGGGACAGGGGAAGAGGGAGTGGCCAGGTCCGATGAGTCCGCACCGGCACCCGTACCACCACCTCCACCTGAGGCACCACCCCCTGTATCACCACCGGACTCATCAGCGGCCGCAGGAGGAGGCACATCCGTAGTAGGCCAAGGCCCGGATCAAGGCCCAGGACTTGGACAACAACCCCCACCTCCATCACCAGACAACGACGCTACCGAAGCTGGAGCCGGAGCAGTAACGCCAGCATCGAAGGATACGCAAGAAACAGGTAAGGAATATGTACCTGAGGATGATGACCTAGTTAATGTTAAACTTAGAGGCAGTTCTGGTTCTATAAGTGTAGTTACCTCAACTACTTATAACAGTGGAGCACCCTCGCAGGAGGACATAGAGCGATACGGAGAAACCGCAGATACAAAATCGCCAGGTTGGGACCACACAATCTACACTCGGTAGTATTCACCCAGGTGCAGGAACATGCTCACACGGGACAGTGTTTTTTTGTTAAAAACAAAAAAAACGCACAACAATTTCCGGCGAGACAGGGAGCGACAACACGGAGAGAGAAACCACGGCGAGCGGCAGAGAGAAACCAAACGTCGAATGAGACTGACCGGCACAGCGTGCCGGGGCAAGCCACGCGAGCGAACGGTAGGCCGCTGGATGTACACGTCGACAGACGTCGACAGACACAGACACACACACAGTGTGTGTTGTGTGTTGTGGGCCACAGAGAGAGTCTTTTCCCGGGGTGGCACCCTACCCCCGCGTCACCAATGGTGCCGACCGCGTAGTCAACCATCCACCGACGGAGCGCAACACCCGTGTTGGCGAGCAACCAGCGCACAAACCCTTGCATTTCATCATTGTCCTTTTCCCAAACCTTCTTTCCGGACCTGCAGTAACAGTCCCTGAACCACCACCAGAACCAGAACCAGAACCGCCGGCACCGTCCAGTGCCGGTTCTACAGCAACATCATCAGACACAACAACACCATCACCTGCAGCAGCGACACCATCCACAGGACCAGCAGGGGCCGGTACCACGAGTGCCAAGAAGGATGACGACGCCGGCGACAGTAACCCTGTCGTCGATGGAGGAAACGATGACCCCCCTCCTCTCAATCCACCCAAACCAAAACCCAACCCGAACCCCGATCAAGCGGGGTCCAGCGGCAACAATAGTAACGGTGGAGTGCCCTCTTTCGATTTGGACAAAATATTTCCAAAGAACATAAGAATTGCCGCAGGCGGTGGATTTACACCACCTATCACAACACCCGGATCATCCACTACATCGGGTGCAACTCAAGGTGACTACGCTGTCCCCGACCTAACCGCCGACGTCATCACCGCCACTACTCCCGTACTCTTCTTCCTGTCCGCCGTCATCGTCGCCCTTCTTGGTTATTCCCTTTGGAAAGTAAGTACACACGACAATGAGGGCATGCCGCATGTGCAGCATTTTTATACCTCAGAACATCCCGCCCGGCTGCACTATATGATCGTTCTAACCAATATGCCCCTACATCCACGTTCATTCCTTTTATCCTACCGTCCTCACCCTCCTCTTTACCCCCTTTTTCTGCTTAGTATTTTGCGTACCTCGGAAAAACACCACGACGAACGTATCGAACCGTGCGTGACGTGCCGTCACCGCCACTCGACGAAGAAATACTAGACCATCTACAACGCGGCGAACTGACACCACCCGATTACGGGTACACAATGGTTCGGCATACGCGGCCAGGCACATTGCCCGACCGACGACCACGCCCACCGTGCGTGCATAAGCGCACCATCATCGAACTACACTTGGAAGTGCTCAACGAATGTGAAGCGGCAGATTGGGAACACGGCAAACACGATTTTTACGGGATTCTTGTGCAGGCGTTTGCGCGTGACTTGGAGCAGGACGAGGAAACGAATAACAACATCTTGGGTGTTTCTACCTCAGACCATGGTTCTGCAGGGACCAATGTTTCAGCCACCGTGCATCCATCCACTGACTCGGACGCAACAGATTCATGTCCACCTAACGAAGATGATCCATGGAGTTGTATGGAAACCATACAGTTCGCCACGGACCCTTGCCCGCCACATGACCCCGATCCATGGAGTTGTATGCACACTATACCGTTAGCAACGGACCGTGCTGCGCCTAACGACGCAGACCCCGATCCATGGAGTTGTATGGAACACATACAGTTAGAAACTGACACTTGTGCAACGCATGCCTGCGATCCATGGAGTTGTATGGAAAAAATACAGTTAGCAACGGACCCTTGTGCACCGAATGAACACGACCCCGATCCATGGAGTTGTATGGAAACTATACAATTACAAACGGACCCTTGCCCACCTAATGACCCCGATCCATGGAATTGTATGGAACCCATACCGTTAGAATCGGACCCTTGTGCACCGAATGAACACGATCCATGGAGTTGTATGGAAACGATAGAGTTCGCAACGGACCCGTGTCCACCGAATGCAGCCGACCCCGCTCCATGGCGTTGTATGGAACGCATACAGTTAGAACGCGACCCTTGTGCACCGCATGACCCCGATCCATGGAGTTGTATGGAAAATATCGACTTAGATGCAGAACAGAATGCTCATTCCCACCCCGACCACGTGACGTCGTACTGCACCCATTGGATCCCTTGGATTGACCGGCACAAGCACCTATTGCAGCAGTGCACGACGCAGCCATGGTTTTCGCAATTGACATCGGAATGGAAACAATACCTGCGTGAGCACATGGCGGCAGACGAAGTATCTGGCAACAGTGAACTCGGTGAAGCAGCCACCATGCAGATGCAGAAACTGCGGTTGTGGAAACAATGGGTTGCCCAACAACATGCGCTTATGCATATATATGGTGAGGACGAGTGGTTTCAACATTTGTTGAATAATGTACAGGAGGAGACAGTGTCGGAAAAAGGCGAAGTATCAGTAGTCGACCAAGACTTCGACGTGGAAAAAGTAATGGGAACAGCAGATATGCTACGAGTGCAACATATACCACGCATGCAACCGCTGAATAAGCAACCTTACATGAAAAAACGGTTAACTGCCAAATTGTGGATTCTCCTGCTCGCGTCCGTAATCGAAAAATGTGAAATCGAGAGTAGTATGCACGATAGGGAGCTATATGTGGATGCTCTATTGGAACAGCTCTGACATTCGGATGACGGGCCACATGAATGTGACATAACGCATGCTAATCGTACACCACTTTTACTTCATTATGTGATATACATAATGCATTTCCGGTTTACTTTATTCTATATATTCTTTTTTTTTTTTTCTGCTCTTTTCTGCTTGTGCTTACTTTTGCCTTGTTTTGTTCTCTTTCTGTGTAGTCCCCTTCTTTTAACATGACCCTCGGCACAGGTGGGGACCGGTTAAATGCATATAACATGTAGATTTACAAGAATAATATGAACGGGTAGTATTCTCCTTTATGGGAAATTATTTATTAAAAGCTGCGCACGTGCATTCTGAGGGTATAGTGCAGAACACATATAGCATGCGCATACGCATTCGAGTATAAGGAGAGCTTGTCTCTCCGCGCAAACGTGGCCGCGTAAACCGCATTGTAGCCGAGTGTAACAAGGTACACATTGTCTCTCCGAGCACACGCGTCGACCAACGCGGCACAGTGTAAGAAGGATTCGACGAAGGCTTGTCCGAGTGTAAGAAAGGAGGGAGAGATTGTCTCTCCGAGCAAACGCGTCGACCAAAGCGGCCGAGTAAGCACGGCTATTGTGTGCGAGCAAACGTGGCCGAGTAAGGGGTATTCGACGAAGTAGCCGAGTGTAAGAAGGAGGACATTGTCTCTCCGAGCACACGTGGCTCACTATCAGACGGATTCGACGAAGCAACCGAGTGTAAGAACGGAGGGAGACATTGTCTCTCCGCGCACACGCGTCGACCAACGCGGCCGGATAAAGGCGATTGTCCGAGTAAGGAGTTTTCGAGGGAAGCATCCACAGCCGGAGCATAGAGCGGGGGACGGGGAGCGAAGGAACACACACATTATGTGCGGGCGTAAACAACGCGGACAGGACGGCGGCAACGACGGCAGAAGAATTTGATGTTGTTGTTATACTGCGCTTTTAGTGTACAAGGGGTTTAGCGTACGCACACAGAGACACAGTGTGTGTGACGACGTTTAGTGGAGACCGGTGTAGACAAGCGGGGAGTGTATCTTCATGGCGCATTTTGTGTGTAGGTTGTGTAGTAGTACATTTTTTTTTTTTTCCGTTTCTTCTTCTGCAGGGCAGGAAGTTGGACGGCAGACGGCGAACCGCGGAAGGCAGAAGTCGTTTGTGTAATTATCACGACTTCCAGAAGTGTGCACGCAAGCGTTGACGGAAGAGCAGTTGACGGGAGAGGCGTTGACGGAGAACGCGGTGACGGAGAATCGTACACGGAGACGGGGTGACCGGAGAGGCGTGGACGGAGCCCAGCGTTGACGGAGAAGGGGTTGACGGAGAAGGGGTTGACGGGAGCGGCGTTGACAGAGAAGCGTGACGCGAGCGGCGTTGACGGAGAACGGGGTGACGGAGAGAGGCGTTGACGGGGACGGGGTGATCCGGAGACGGGGTGTGTGTATATTTTTTTTTGTTGTTATTGAGCGGTGCAGTGGTAGCAGTAGTACAGGTAGTAGTAGTAGTAGTAGTAGTAGTAGTAGTAGTAGTAGTAGTAGTAGTAGTAGTCGCGTACTTTTTTTTTTTAAGACGGGGAATAAAACGTGTTCAATATGGTTGAAGACAAGTATGACAAACAGATAAGGGATTTTATTGCGGCATGGGACGATTATCTACACAACAGCAAGATAAAGAACGGACAGGAATATTGGGTAAGTTCCATTGTACACAAAATTCCGCACGAACGAGAGTAGTGCACTGCTGAGAGCATATATGTACATGGGACATTGGAAACTGTATGTGTGAGCATAGACTATTTATATAAGTGTCGTATAGTGAACAACGTATTGTGAGGACAGATATGGCACACGGACACTGCATGAACCTAAAAATAAGTGTGGTTAAATGTAGATGGATTTCAGAGAACAGAAAAAATGTACAAACATAAATGGATTCTTCTATCCGCAGAAACAATTAATGCGTGAGGTTAACATTATCTTCCCAGAAGTAACAAGAACGATAAGTCAAGGTAGCGGCAAGAACGCTGGCATTTGTGGAAGTATATATACGGAATCGGGGCAGTCCATGTGCAGGAGCAGGTGTATGCACATTGCGAACATTATGCTCTACATAAGAGGATATAATTACAATGCAAAAAATGGCACGTGGAACAAAAGAGAAGTACGCGAGAGAACGCGCACGATGTTCCATGAATATTTGAGGTGTACACTGGGAACTGCGGTTTTACTGCAGCTGTATGGGAATAATGCAGATCATAGGGAAGTCATAACGAAGGTTGAGGAACAAATGCGGCAAACGCATACATCAGGGAAACAGCACTATGAGCCAGGGGTTTGTGAGGGCCAGCATTATGGGGAAGTCATCTTCGGATTACGTGGTATTGGACCCAGTATAAAGACTAAGCTGCACGAATGGAACACAGGTTTGGCAGGAGGCCACGCAGGAACTACCCGTGGAACAGGGAAGCAGTGTGCTTGGGCAGAGCAAGACACAAACCAGAATAGTGAGGACGCATGTAATGCAGAGCAGGGGCACGTGCTGCAGGATCATTGGCTCATGGGGAGAATAAGGCACTGGACGGATATGATTATCTTTGCGCGAGTGAAGAAGGTGTTAGACGACATACACAATAATGGGGGATCCAAGGAGAAATGTGCAGTAGAGAAGAAGATAAAGGAGGGAGTACAGAAAGTGAAGGCCACAGTGAATCCACCACCTTCGAAACCAGGAGGACCACAACCTGCGCCAGCACCAAGACCACCGACAGGCAGCAACGGACCCGCCAAACCCGCCCCGGCCAAACCACCCGGGAAAGACGGACAACCAGTAGCGGTGACACCGGCATCACCACCGTCATCGTCGGGACCGGGGACGAAGCAGGCCACAGGAGAACAGTGTGATTGGAAGAGCGTATTACAGAACAGGCATCATGCATTGTATGTGGTGCACGGTTATGATGTAAGTTACAATAAGGGGAAGCGGAAAAGGGAGATAATGATTAGATGGTATAATTTATGATTGTGCCGTGTGTATATATAGGCATATACATGTAACAGGTACAACGCGTGCAGTTTAAATGTATGCACACAGACTTTTTTTATGTGTCTGTTTAAACTACAGAGAACGATGAAACACAAAATGGACCAAGTATTAAATAGTTTTGTAGCCCATATGCAACAGAGCCATGAAAATATAGACGAATTGGGTGTAAACTGCGAAAACAAAGGTTGGAATGATTTTGAGCAGCAAGTGTACACAATAGACCAAACGGTGGGCGACGTAATGAGATGTAGACTTATGAATACTGCATTATATTTCGCAAACGGTTGGAATGCAAATGGGACAAGTGCACAAGAGCACAGCCAGGAAGATGCAGACACAATCAATATGTTAAGATGTGAAATAGTGAATACTTTTGGACACCTATTGAGAGAAAGGTATTGTCCGAACCAGGGAACGTGGAAACGAGGTATAGAGTATGCGTGGGAAATAATGAATCACATGGTGCACGGGTCAGGGACAGAAATGTTACCCAAGGGTCCTGTTACGGAGAAGAAGTGCACACAATGTGGATATAGGGCTAAACAAACGCACAGGGCAATAATAAATGGAGACGTTGCAGAATGGTTAATCAGCGGAGGCATAATGGAGGAACTAGGACAGATACAAGGTAGAATGGGGTGTACGGACAATTGGGAGACATATATAAAGAGGCCGCGGCATCATGGTAAAATTACAGGTTTAACGGAACCGGGGATGGAAAGAATGAAGGAAGCTCAGGCAGCGATGAAGGAGGATGCCATAAAGATAGTTAAAATAGTAGGCCAAAAAATACAGGAAGAAATAAACAAGCACATAAAAGAAGACGACGGTAAGAACAGTAAGCATACGAATACACATAGTGCGAATAACAATACGAATGAATAACAACACGCCGCACACGAATACGTATACACGGCCGAATACGCATGCCACGGCCCACTACGGCCGCATACGAATACGCGGCCGTATACTGCCGCATATGGATACCGCCACAACAACAACATGCACACGCGGCACATCTACACTGCCCCACGTCGGTTGAACGATGAGCACAGCGGCGACCACCATGGTAGTGATAGCGCCGTCACCGTGGTGCGTGGGCTGCATCGGCGACGACGGATGCAGCAACGACCATGACGGGAGCCACGCTGGCGGACGCTGGACTAGAGGACGGCGACAAATAAAAGTTGTACTGCTACCATTTAGCCCAGTTCACCGCGTGCGCAGTCCACCGAGTACGCAGTCCACCGCGATCCATGCAGCCGACCCACTGCATCGATCCACTGCATCGATCCACTGCATCGAGCCGGACCCTACCGTGCCGCAACCTGATCGAACCGTCGCGCCCCCTTCTTTCTGTACCACGTGTGTCCTGTTTTGTATCATGTTGTCGTTTTTCCTCCTTGCTTTATTTGCAGCGACGAAACCAGAGGTACCACGAGCTAAGGTACCAGAGGTACGAAAGGAGGTTGTTCCTGAGGAGACAGTACCTTCAACAACGAATGGTGAAAATGGAGTCGCAAGGTCCGATAATGGGGAACAGGGGCCCGTACCACAACCCCCACCGGTGGCACCCCCATCAACACCAGGAGCCGCATCAGCCGGAGGAAAAGGAAAGAAAGGTAAGAGCACAGACACCAAGTGCAATAGTACAGTACACACGCAGGAGGATAGGGGGACCGTCGTGGGTTCATACATTAAAGTCACCGTCAGCACCCCGGATACCTCTCCAGGCTGTACAGGTAATAGTATTGTGGGCCATAAGACTTCTACTCATATGAGTGTTCACACGGGTGCCAATACCCTAAGACCAACACGGATGACAACAAGGAAGAACAGCAACAAAAAAAAAAAAAAGCACACAACAACAATTTCCGCACAGAGAGGGAGAGACCACACGGAGCGAGAGCCAGAGAGAGAAACCACACGTCGAATGAGAATGACGGGGGCAACATAGCTGCGGCAGGTAGCGGCAGGTAGCGCCCGGTAGAGATGTCGACAGACGTAGACGTCGACGTAGATGCAGACCGACAGACACACACTGTGTGTTGTGTTGTGTGTTGTGAGTGTTGTGTGGGAGACAGAGAGAGTCTTTTCCCGTGGTGGCACCCTACCCCCGTCCCTGCTTCCTGGCTGCTTCCCCGATGCCGTCCCCGTGGCACCCTACCGCCGTCTCGTCTGCTGCCCCGGCCCGTGTCTTGCCCCGTCCGTCTCCTGCTCCCCACCGTCCCCTTCGTGAACCATGGTGCCAACCACCGCACAACACTGCCGTTTCCACCCTTTCTATTTTTCTTGCTCTTCACTTGAACTTACAGGTGAAGTCGATGTCAGTGGACCCAAGAATGCGAAACAAGAGGACGCAGCAGCAGAACCAGCAACTGGAGAATCGACACCAGCAGCAACAACACAGGGACCGGCCGGGCACCCAGGTACACCCAGCGCATCGGGTCCCACCGTTGACACCAATGTGCCCGGCAGTTCCGTCCAACCTACAACTTCGAGCACGAATCCTGACCACTCGGGGAAGTCCGGGCCGCAAGAGAATCAGGGCGAGAAGGTGACAGAACCAGGGAAAGCGCAGGGGGATACTGGAAGGTCTTCCCTAGGGGGGTGGACGAATGATGACTTTGGTTTTGGAGATGTCCCTAAGCTCTTCGATGACCCCCCACCTCCCACGCCACCCAAACCGAACCCGAACCCAGCACAGGCCAGTGGCAACAACAATAGTATCGATGGCGTTCCCTCCTTCGATTTGGACAACATATATCCATCAGGCATAGATAAAGTAGGGGGAGGATTCGTCCCACCAACCTTGCCAGAAGATAATTCTCGTCCCCAGAATGACGACCCAGGAGGGGAGGCCAAGGGCCCCTTCTTTCCCGATTTAAACGCAGCCGTCCTTACCGCCACTACACCCGTCCTGTTTTTTCTCGCTTCCGTCATCGTCGCCCTCCTTGGTTATTCCCTCTGGAAGGTCAGTATATGCGGCACACCGAATATGCTTATCCGCAATATGTACCATAGACAAATGTGTTCCTAAAGGGGTGTTTTGTGTCATCATTCTAACACAAATGCACTCTTCTACATCGTCCTTGTTCTTTTTTTTTTGTAGTACTTTGCGTACCTCGCCAAACGTCGACGAACATATCGAACAGTGCGTGACGTGCCGTCACCGCCATTGGACGAAGACATATTGGACCATCTACAACGCGGCGAACTGCCGCCACCCGATTACGGGTACACGATGGTTACGCAACCTGCGTCCACATCCGGTAGAGGCCGCCCCCCACGCGTGCATAAGCGCACGATCATCGACCTACATCTAGAAGTGCTCAACGAATGTGCAGCAACCGCATGGGAAAACGTCAAAGAGCACTATTTGCAGATTGTCGTGCAGGAGTTTGCGCGCGACTTGGACCAGGACGGAACGGGCTACAGTAGTTCCTTGGATGCTCCTAGCACAAACCAGGCTTTATCAGGGACCAATGCTTCCTCCACTGACTCCGAACAAACGGACCGTTCTCCACCTAATGAAGATAACCCCGATCCATGGAGTTGTATGAAAAACATACAGTTCGCAACGGACACTTCTCCACCGACTGCAGACGACCCCGATCCATGGAGTTGTATGGAAACCATGCAGTTACAAACGCACCCTTGTCCACCTAACGAAGAGGACCCCGATCCATGGAATTGTATACAATACATACAGTTAGCAACGCACCCTTGTCCACCACATGACCCCGATCCTTGGAGTTGTATGGAAACCATACCGTTAGTAACGGGCCCTTCTGCTTCTAACGCAGAGGACCCCGATCCTTGGAGTTATATGGAAACCATAGATCCCGAAAAACACCAGCGGCATGTCTATTCCCACCCTGGGGACGCGACGTCGGACTGCATCGGTTGGATTAACTGGATTGACAGCAAACAGCACCTATTGCAGGACTGCACGACGCAGCCGTGGTTTAATGCTCTCAAATTGCAATGGCAACAATACCTGCGTGAGCACATGGTGGCAAACGACGTATCCGCGCACCGTGAGTTCGGTGAAGCGGCCACCCGGCCGATGAAGCAACTGCGATTGTGGAAAAAGTGGGTAGCGCAACAACATCGGCAAATGCGTATGTATAGTGAAGAAGAGTGGTTTACGCATTTGTTGAATAATGTAGAGGAGGACACAGAATCGCCAAAAGGCGATATACGTGGAGTGGAACAAGACTTAGCAGTGGAAAATGTAATGGCCGCACAACAGATGCTAAGAGTGCGAGATGTACCACGGTCGCAACTGCATCAACAACCTCACATGAAAAAACGGTTACGCGCTAACATATGGATACTGATCCTGGCATTAATCATTGAAGAGTGCGAATTCGAGAGAAGTGTGCAGGATAGGGAGTTATATTTGGATGACCTATTGGAGGAACTGTGACATTCGGATGACGGGGCACATGCATGCGACATAACGCATGCTCATCGTACACCACTTTTACTTCATTATGTGATATACATCATATATTTCTGGTTTACATTATACTATAACTGTTTTTTTTTTTTTCTTTTTATGCTTTTTTTTTTTGTTTCTCTTCTCTGCTCCTTACTTCTGTTTCTTTCTGTTTACTTTTGCTTTGTTTTGTTCTTTTTCTGTGTAGTCCACTTCTTTTAACATGACCATAGGAACAGGTGGGTACCGGTTAAATGCATATAAAATGTAGATTTAAATGAATAATATGACGGGGTAGTATTCTCCTTTATGTGAAGTTAATTATTAACAGATGCGCACGTGCATTCTACGAGTATAGTGCAGAACAACTATAGCATGCGAATAAGCATTCGAGTATAAGGAGAGATTGCCTCTCCGCGAACACGCGGCCGCGTAAACCGCATTGTAGCCGAGTGTCAGAAGCAGGGCATTGTCTCCGATTGAAACGGCCGAGTGTAAGACCGATTCGACCAACGCTTGTCCGATTGTAAGGCAGGGGTGATTGTCTGTCCGAGCACACGCGTCGTGCAACGCGGCCGAGTGTAAGACGGATTCGACGACGGATTGTCCGCGTGTACGAAGGAGGAGAGATTGTCTCTCCGCGCAAACGCGGCTGATTGTAACAACGATTCGACGCAGTAGCTGCGTGTAAGAAAGGAGGGAGAGATTGTCTCTCCGAGCAAACGCGTCGACCACAGCGGCCGCGTGCACGACGGAGGAGAGATTGTCTCGCCGAGCAAACGCGGTTCGACGACGTAGCCGGGTACACGGGATTGTCCGAGCAACGCGGCTCGAGTGTAACAACGATTCGACGTAGTAGCCGAGTGTAAGAACGGAGGGAGACTTTGTCTCCGAGCAAGGGGTCCCAAAAAACGGATTCGAGGGAGCAGACAGTGCGGGGGCGCAGAGCGAAGGAACACACAAATTTTATGGGATCCACACGGGCCGCAACAACGGCGACAACGACGGCAGAAGAATTTGATTTTGTTGTTATACTTCGGTTTTTAGGTGTACGCACACAGAGAGACAGTGTGTGTGACAGGCGTTTAGTGGACACCGGTGTAGAAACGGGGGCGGGGGGTGACGTATTAGTGACGTCGTGTAGCATTTTTCCTATTTTTTCCTTCCTTTTTTTTTTTTTTTCTTTTTTTTTTCTCTTTTTTTATTGGTGTTTTTAAGGATTACAAATCCCACGATGTATAGGGTGTGTGATTACATTCAGATAGGGAAATTTAGGCTATGTAACATATTTCCGCAGGGACCCTAAACTGGAAGACGTATTCCATGCGCTAAAAATCTGAATAATAACTAAGAGAATATTGTGCGCATATTATATTCAAGCCGTTACCTGAGAGATAAGGATATCATTTGTTTCATTATATTGGTTTATGGTTGTGAAAATATGACGTATGCGACGTTAGGGGCTTTATTAGCACAATATGTGCTGACACGGGGTCTAGTTGATAACACGGAGCAGTATAAGGTAATTTATTAACACCAACACCGCGGGGAGTCGTGTACTTATAACAGCCTCTATATATGATTGTATGTATACATGCCGCTCTATATCATTGTACGAATGCGACCGTGCACTAATTCCATATAAAGAATACAATGGGGAAAGTAAAGTACGTGCAGCACTCACAAAGGCATGGGTACAGATGAATATGGAACAGACAGCTACAGTGGTCCATTATGCACACACATATATGTTCCTTGTGCACCATGCAGCAAAGCTTATGGACCGATATAACAGTGCTACTCGACGAATTTGTGGAATATTTGGAAGAAGAGAAACTAGACATGTATGCAGCTAATTGTTTGAACGCGGGTTATAGGAGTCTCAGGACAACAGACATACTTGTGGCACAGAAAGTAGCGGATAGACTAATGTGCACACTTATGACAGGAGCATTATTTTTCATGAATGGATGGCACAAGCAGTCCGCCAGCAGGGACACTAGAGACAGCCATAGTGCACAGTTGAAGGCACATATAAGGTGCGCAATAGTAAATATATTTATGTCCATATTGCTGGCATCTCCATGCAGAAGTCAAATGGGGATAAATAATGCATGGTACACAATGAAACAACTGGAGTCAGGTGAAACTGGATTACTCACAAAGGGCACGTGCCGCCAGGGAGTGTTTGCAGACATAAAAATCGGGGAATTCGACATGGAGACACAGATTACGACATGGTTAAAGAGCAAGAAGAGCTTGACTGAAAAATTTGCAAGTCACGCAATACAAAGCACATGTACGAAAAGCTTAGCAGAACTTGGCGTGGCCAGGCAGGACGCAAATGACATGGATGAGAGGATAGAACTGAAGGACGAGGAGAAAGAAGCTATAAGTGCGTTAGGCCGAGAAATGAAGACTATAGTTGAGGAGGTAAAGAAAGCCGCAGTGCAATGCGCGAAGGGAACTGGCGCATGCATGAAGTCTATCGAAGCAGTCACCGGTAGAAATCCAGAGGGTGATGACAGTGAGGGAAAAGAAACAAAATCTGTAGCGAGCGATACACCAGCACCAAATGTACCGGCAGGTAAGGACCGATGGGAGAAAGAAATAATAAGACCCGATACGTATCGTATTGCTCAATATGGATGCCGCCACAACAACGCAACTGCCACAACACACGCGCACACGCGCGGGGAACAGCACCCCCTCGTTAAGCTGACGTGTGCAGCCACGACGGTAGCGCCGGCGAGGCTCCGGGGACGAGATGGCGGTTGCGGACGGCGACAACAAATAAAAGTTGTACTGCTACCATACCATGTCACCGTACGCTTGCTGCCGCCTGACCCAGTTCACCGAGTTCACCTCGATCCATGCAGCCGACCCACTGCATCGACGCATGCAGCCGGACCCCCACCCTGTCGCTACCTGACCGCACCGTCGCGGACCCTTCTTTCTGTACCACTGGTGTCCTTTTGTATCATGTTGTCGTTTTACGTCCTTGCTTTATTTGCAGGGGAGGACGCGCAAAAAACGACAGCTCCACCGAAATCCCCACCACCGGAGCAGACGGAAGAGACCCCAGCGGCACCCGCAGCATCGGCCCCAGCAGCGCCGGGAGCACCCCGCGATCGAGCAAGGTCAGAGAACCCACCGGCAGCACCTGGAGAACAACCACCATCACAATCATCGTCGGGATCGGGATCGGGATCAGGAACACCAACACCAGGTCCGCAGGGAGGAGCACAGGAAGCAGGGACACATGGGACGTCGACAGAAACGAAGGCTAAGGATTCGGATGCAACTTCCGCAGGTACGGCCACATGTCCCAGTAGCAGCGGCAAGTCTGCACGTGTCTCCATTAGTTGTGCGACTACCTCGGATGAAGAACTGGGCAAGACGCCGGAACTGACGAAACTCCTGCAACAGGAAGAGCAGGAGCGCGAAAAGGCACCCATTAGTCCTAGCCCCAATTCTGGAACAGGTGACACCAGTCGCATGATCCATGATGCATACGAACATACCACGAGAGTAGCTAACAACCACAACGAATCAACTTTTCCGGAGACAGAGGGCGAGACAGCACGGAGATAACACGGCGAGAGCGAAACCAAACGTCGAATGAGAGTGAGCGCCCGGCCGAGCGACGGGGCGGCCAGCGCGCGCAACTGGTCGGCCGCGGGATGTAGACGTCGACGTCGACAGACAGACATCGACACACACACTGTGTGTGTTGTGTGTGTTGTGTGTCGGACAGAGAGAGAGTCTTTTCCCGGGGTGGCACCAGCCAACCACCGTTCGCACCGTGGCCAACCATCCAGCGACGGTGATGTCGTGAAACGACGGACAACCGCCGTCAACCGTGTGGTCAACCATCCAACTCGCACATATTAGATTGTGTCAACATTGTTCCCGTTCTTAATTGTACCTACAGGTAGTGACACAAGGGTTGATTCCACGGCAAGTGAAACTACGGCTAAGGGGCCAGAGCCACAGCCGGAACCAGGTAAAGGCACAGTAACAGGGTCCACAATACCATCATCAGGAACCGACACAACATCAACAGGACCACACGCGACTAAGACTGATAAGAACGATGGCCAAGCAGGCAGTACCGATGCTGTTGTCGATGGCGGCAACGATGACCCCCCTCCTCTCAATCCACCCAAACCAAAACCGAACCCGAACCCAGATCAATCGGGTAGTAGTTCCACCGGCGGCGGCAGCGGCCCACCGACCGCAGCAGGTACTGAAAACGGTGCAGGAGGAGGACATGGTGTAGGAGGACCAGGTGGTGGGGCAGGTGCAAAGCCAAGTGCGGGTAGCGTAGATGCAGGACCAGGTTCTACTGGTCCCCAAAACCCTGGTTCCTCAGCACCGGGTTCCTCTGGTACTGGCTCCACTGGGGGTCCTGGCGCCGGTGCTTCCCATCCTTCCGGTGGCCAGGGCCCACGGAACAACCAAGTTCCACCCACTCTCCCTTCCCCGACACCCTTCGACCCCAAGGATCTCATCCCGTACACCCCCGCGATCATTCCCGCGGTGGTTGGTATTGGGATCATTGCGTTTTTCCTATGGAAGGTAAGTATATACGCGACGCCGTATACGCGTATCCGTAATATGTACCATTAGCAAAGTGTTCCTAACGGGGCTGTTCTATCATCATTTCAACACAAATGGACTCTTCTACATCGTCCTCGTTCTTTTTTTTTTTTTTTTGCTTAGTACTTTGCCTACCTCGGCCACAAACGACGACGAACATATCGAACCGTTCGTGACGTGCCGTCACCGCCACTCGACGACGACATATTGGCGCATCTGCAACGAGGCGAACTGCCGCAACCCGATTACGGGTACACCATGGTTACGCAACCTGCGTCCACATCCGGTAGAGGCCGCCCACCCCGCGTGCATAAACGCACGATTATCGAGCTACATCTAGATGTGCTCCACGAATGTGAAGCGACAAATTGGGAAAACGTCAAAGACGACTATTTGCAGATACTCGTTGAAGAGTTTGCAAACGACTTGGAGCCGCACGCAACGGGGTATAGTAGTTCCCCGGCTTCTTCGTCGAATCACGATTCACCAGGGACCACTGTTTCCTTCACCATGGATCCACACACTGACATCGAACGAACGCACGCATCTCCACGTAACGCAGAGCACCCCGATCCATGCAGTGGTATGGACACCATACAGTTACCAACGGATTCATGCCCATTGAATGACCCCGATCCATGGAGTTGTATGGAAACTATACAATTACAAACGGACCCTTGTGCACCGCATGACCCCGATCCATGGAGTTGTATGGAAACTATACCGTTAGCACCGCATCCTTCTGCATCCAACCACGGTGACGAGACGGCGGCGTGCACCCACTGGATTAACTGGATTGACCGCAACAAATACCTTTTGCGGGCGTGCACGGGGCAACCGTGGTTTTTGCAATTAAAAGCGGATTGGAAACAATACCTGCGCGCACACATGGTGGCAAACGGAGCATCCAGTGAGCACAGGACAGCCGCAACCCTGGAGAGGAAGAAACTGGATGCATGGAAAGAATGGGTAGCGCAACAACATCGGCAAATGTGTATGTATAACGCGCAGGAGTGGTGCCAACGTTTGTTGCATAATGTAGAGGCCGCGACAGCACCGCAAAAAGGCGCAGTACCTGGAGTGGACACAGCCTTAGCAGTGGAAACAGTAATGGGAACAGAAGATGTGCTACAAGTCAGAGATGTACCGCGGTCGCAACTGCATCCGCAACCTTACATGCAAAAAGCGTTAACCGCTAAAATATGGATACTGCTCCTGGCATTAGTCATAGAACAGTGCGAGCTCGAACGCAATTTGCAGCAGACGGAGTTATATGTGGATGAACTACTGGACAAGCTCTGCAATTAAGATGAAGTCAGGGGTATGCAGGATAAGGAGTTACATGTGGATGAACTACTGGACAAGCTCTGAAATTAGGATGACGGGGCATATGCATGCGACATAACGCATGCTAATCGTACACCACTTTTATTTCATTATGTGATATACTTAATATATTTCGCGTTTACATTATTCTATACCTTCTTTTTTGTTCTGCTCTGTTCTGCTTACTTCTGTTTACTTTTGCTTTTGTTCTTGTTCTGTGTAGTCCACTTCTTTTAACATGACCATGGGGACAGGGTGGTACAGGTCAAATGCATAAAAAACGTAGATTTAAATGAATAATATGAACGGGTACAATTCTCCTTTATGGGAAATTATTTATTAACACATGCGCAAGTGCATTCTACGAGTATAGTGCAGAACAACTATAGCATGCGAATAAGCATTCGAGTATAAGGAGAGCTTGTCTCTCCGAGCAAACGCGGTTTGACGAAGTAGCCGAGTGCAAGAAGGAGGAGGATTGTCTCTCCGAGCAAAACGGGCCGAGTAAAGTAGATTGCCCCGGAGGGTAAGACGGATACGACGACGTAGCCCAGTGTAAGAACGGAGGGAGAGATTGTCTCTCCGAGCAAACGTGGCCGGGTAAACCGCATTGTAGCCGCGTGTAAGCAGCAGGAGCTTGTCTCTCCGAGCAAACGCGATCGAGTAAAGGGGATTCTTCCCGGGTGTAAGAAAGGAGTGATTGTCTCTCCGAGCAACGCGTCGACGACGTAGCGGAGTGTAAGAAGGAGGAGCGCTTGTCTCTCCGAGCACACGCGTGGACCAAAGCGGCCGAGTAAAGGATTCAGAGAGAGGGGGGCGGAGGCCAAGGAACACACATATATTTTGTGGGACGCACAACGAGGGAAGGACGGGGACTTCAGATTCACTTGGATTAGTGTACAAGGGGATATTTGTTGCTAAGGGCGGTAGTTTTTGTTCAGTGCGGGTATTTGTTGTTAATGGGTGATGAGATTACGTGTGCTGTTCCTAAGAGTACTATTGTTGAGGGGGTAGTTTGGGTTGAGGATTTTAGTGCGGGACAACTATTTTGAGTATGCAGGAGTAGAAGTTTCTGTGGGCAGCATATTATTCCGCAGGATAATGTTCAATTAATGTGGACTTTGAATAAGTATCGAGCAGAGTGTCATCCTATATAAGAAGGACCACAAGGGAGGAAGCCATGTGGAAGTATTTAATATTACTATGGAACAATTATATTGAGCAGGGAAGAGAGAAAATAGGAGTGAACCAAGATGAGAACTTTAAAGTAAGTTGATATATGTACAAGAGTGACGAAAAGGAACTGAATTATATTGTGCAAATGTCGTGACGTTCTCTGGGAGCAATATATACGTTCATATTGTGAAGTGATATGCGTTCTCCAGAAGGGGGACATGCATATGTATAGGAGCAATATGTACTTATATCAACATTTATATAGTAAGGAAAAGTGGAACATGTAATATAGTTCATTCGGTAACATATGATGAATGTTGTACCTGCAGGAACATTTTTGGAAGAATGTGGAAACAGTATGGAAGGAATTTAGACACTTTATGGAGAGAATGCAGGACGGTGGGCTAGCGGGTACAATGTGTGAATCGGCACAGGGGGACCAGGAAGCGGACGGACACATATGGACTGGTGAGGATCTGGGTATATGCGAGTTAACAATTACAGCATTACATTTTAAACATGGAATTGAATTAGCAGGAGCCCCCCCACGGGCCGCTTACACGGACGAAGAGACCAAGCACATAGATCTCTATATGAGATGTATTTTAGTAAATATATTTATGAAGAAAATCATGGGCATGAAGTGTTTAGCACGGCCTGGTGGTCAGTTTGCATTCGGTCTTGTGCATGACGAAGTAAAGGGAGTTCTCAAACAAGAGGTAGGTAATGTGGAGTGTGAGTGGAAGGATGCAGGGATAGGTGGCGACGGAACTGGAAGAGATGCAACGGATAGAGATCTGTGGGAAGTAATGACCAGATGGAATGAAAACAATAGACAGAACACAGGGGATGGGCAATGGGGAGTATTAGGACAAGGATGTAAGGTGGAGAAGAAAGGAACAGCGAAAGTAGGGGATGGCGACACAAGGCAGGCGTTAAAGGAGAAAGTCCAGGAAGAAATAAAGAATGTGGAGGAGGATATAAAAGTGAAAGTGTCGACAATATTAACGGGAATACGAGTTTGTAGTCATGGGGATGACAATTGTGTAAAGAACTTATTACAGAAAAAGCAGCAGGAAGAAAAGAATCAGCAGGACTCCTCCTCTAAAACTGCGGAAGGAAACGGACAGTCCAGACCGTCGGGGGCACAGGCATCATCACCTTCACTTCCTGCGAGGCCACCACCTCCGCCACCAAGGAGACCATCAACACCACGGCAAATTTCTGGGGGGCCAGGAAGGGGTGGATCTGAAGGAGGAGCACGAGTTGGAGGCGGCAAGGGTCCCGTATTAGGACCACCATCAACATCATCATCACAGCCAGGCAAGTCAGACTCAGAAATACGGTCACCTGCCGCAGCCGTACCCGCCCCCGCCGACAACCACACACCAGCCAAACCAGTAGCGGCGAAACCGGCACCGGCAACGAAGACGGCACAACCAGGAGCAGGAGAGGATTGTCCATGGATGAGCATAGACCACCACAAGAGAAGGCCAGTACACGTGCTGCAGTATTATGATGTAAGTTTAGGTGCAGGAAAGAGGGAAGACGACGAACAAAAACCTATTCATACAGTTACATGTATATATCAGAGTGTCCGCGCTGCTGGTGGGTACAACATAGATGACCTGTAGTCATGCATATTCCCATATTCCCATGTACATCATACAGAGTGCAGAACTCAAGGCTTTGAAGGCCGTGTTGCAGGCCTTTATTGATTATATGCAGCAGAACACGGACAAGATGGATGCATACGGTGCCAACTGTGATAATTCTGGTTGGGATGATTTCGGCCACGGGACAGACTATCATACGGGGCAAACGGTAGCAGACGTAATACGATGCCGGCTCATGACCCTTGCTTTGTTCTTCGCGAACCAGGAGGGAAAACATGGCAATAGTGAGAAAGCACAGAAAACGGATGACGATAAATTGTACGAAAAGTTCAGGTGTGAGGTAGCGAATGTATTTGGATACATGCTGCAGAATCAGTATTGTAAAAAGGAAGGATGGAAGAGGGGTGTAGAGTACGCTTGGAAAACACTCAAGAAAATGCACAAGGACAAGCATGGTAACATACTATTTTCTGGTCCTGTTATGCATGGAACATGCAAACAATGTGGTTACGTAGGTAGTATGACGAAGCCGGGCATAATAAATGGGCACATAGCAGAATGGTTCGTAACGGAAGGAATAATGGGCGAAATAGCACACATAGAGCAACAGCTGCCATGTCATAAAGATTGGAAGAAGTATAAAACGCAGAAGGGTGGTACTGATAATACGGTTATAGAAAACGACAAAATACCGGAAGTGACGACAATGGAGAAGACAGTGCTAGAAGACACGGAGAAGGCCATTGAGAAGGCAAAGGCCCAAGTGGACGCAGCAATTGCAACGGGTACGGATACTACTCGTACGAATACGAATACGACTATACGGACCGTACCGATACGGTATAACCTTAATACACGGCACGCATGTAGACCGCACGAATACAGATGCCACCACAACAACAACGCACACGCGGGGCAACAACCAGGCACACATGGCGGAACAGTAAATCCGCACTGACGTTGCGCGGCGAACGTACAATTGCCGAGCACATCGGCCACAACGGCAGCGGACACGAGATGACAGCAACAACAAATAAAAGTGTACTGCTACCATGTATCCACCTCACCGTATGCTTGCTGCCTCCTCACCCAGTCCACCGAGTCCTACCTCGACCCACTGCATCGACCCACTGCATCGATCCATGCATCGATCCATGCATCGACACACTCTATCGAGCCGTACGCCCACCCTGCCGCTACATGACCCAACCGTCCCGGCCCCTTTCTTTCTGTACCACTGGTGTCGTTTTTTGTTTATCATCTTTTCGTCCATCTTGCTTCCATCCCTCATTGCAGACAAAAAACCGGCAGAAGGAGGAGGAGGAGACCAGAAAGGGGAGAAGCCGTCGGCACCGTCACCATTACCAGAAGGAGCATCTGGGGTAGCAACAGGAACACCTTCCGGACAACCACGATCAGATTCCTCGGCAGGGGACGCACAGCCGGCCGCAGGGGCAGCCGCCGCAGGACCAGGAGCTGGACAACCACCCCAAGCTACTCCACCAGCACCCGCCGGACCCTCGCCACCAGGACCACCAGGAGCATCTGCCGGTACAGGAAGTACAAGTACTGGAATAGGTGCAGCTACTGGCACTACCGGGAATGCAGCAACCGGGGAAAACAACACACCCACATCAAGTAACACAGGTAAGGAATCTGTGCATGAGCAGGATGAACCGACTAATGTGAAGTTGCCAGGAAGTTTTGGATCCATAAGTGTCGTTTTCTCAACTACTTATAACAGTGGAGCACCCTCCCAGGAGCACATGGAGCGATACGAAAACACCACAGATCCACAATCAACAGGTTGGGACAACACAGTATGCACGGGGTAGTATTCACCCAGGTGTAGGAACTTGCCCACTGCAGACAGTGTTTTTTTGTTAACAAAAAAACAAAAAAACAACAATTTCCGGAGATACAGCGAGAGACACCACGGAGAGAGAGAAACCAAACGTCGAATGAAAATGAGCGCATGAGGGACGAGGCGCCGACGCGGCAGTAGCGACCGGTAGACGTAGACGTCGACGGACAGACAGACACACACACACTGTGTGTTGTGCGTGTTGTGTTGTGTGTTGTGTGTGGGAGACAGAGAGAGTCTTTTCCCGGAGTGGCACCTGCCCCCGTCCTCACCCACGTCGAAGTCAACCGTGTAGCCGACCGACCGTGTGGTCCACAATCCATGTCACAAAAGTTCAGTTGTCATCGCATTCTCACTTTTTCCTGTGGACGCCTATTCAGGTAATGAAGGATCAGGAACTGCGACCACACAGGACCCAGAGGCTGCTAGTGAACCCACCGGTGTGGCGACTGTTGAAGGCACCACAGATGCCACCAAAAAGGCAAAAGTTTCAGTCCAGGACACAGCGAAAGACCCAGGTCACACAGCACCATCTACACATAAGGAGAATCAGAGCGTAAACGGAGACCCAGCAACTGTCGCTATTCCTCCAGACTCCTCTGCAACAGAAGAGACGACTCCAGCAGCTACGACTAAACTGGGCACACCCTCGTCACCCGGAGGTAATGAGGACCCGCCTCCTCTCAATCCACCCAAACCTACAGCGAACGCCGACAATACGGACCAGAAGACAGCGCAGAAACCAGATCCATCGAGCCTCCCCTGCGGTCTCCCTGACCCTGATCCTTTCAGCAGCTTCGCCGGTGGCACATCTTCCTGTGGACAAGGCAACGCTGCTGCCCGTGATCGGAGTACTACATACGCAGGTACTGATGCTAACAGTTCCAGAACCCGTGGGGGTTGCGACAGTGGACGCAGAAACTTAGCCATTACTCCTAGATCACAGAATGATCTTAAGTCGGATTCAGGGAACCCTAACGAATTCCGCTTTGACCCAACGAACATAACTCCACCAGGTATAGGGAATGTAGCAGGTGGCATAGCACCTCCAACACTGGACGAAAAAAAGTATCATTCAGTACCTGACAACCGGGGTGAGAAGCCCGGTGACTATGCTGTTCCTGACCTAACCGCCGACGTCTTTACCGCCACTACTCCCGTACTGTTCTTCCTGTCCGCCGTCACCCTCGCCCTTCTGGGTTATTCCCTTTGGAAGGTAACTGCACACAACACGCAAGGTCACACACAAACGCACGACGCACAACGCACAAGCACGCACAAATATAACCGAGTGGAAAAATGGAACAACAACCGTTGCCATTCGGCTTCCACTGTTTCGTCCCATGTTCCAAAAAGGAACTATAACCAACATTACACTATTTGGAAGTTACTCCAACAAGAAAAAACAAGCAATACTAAATTTTAGAACAAAGAACAAAAAAAACAAAAAAAAACCTACTACAGATTAACGTGCCTATATGCGGATACATTGTACATTGGAGGCAACGGAGTTTGGGCTCGTGCGACACAATATATTAGATACATGGTCACACAAGGTCCTTATATGTATGTAATACTAGCACAATATGCATATATTGTTGTAACTATGAAAGCTTATTTTTGAAGCAAAAAAGGAAAAGAAAAAAAAAAAAAAAAAAAAA